TTTAAACCTCTTTTTTTCCCCCCTCATTTTCACTCTTCCCTTGTTTCACCGATGGAAAAAGTGGAGCAGAAAATTGCTTTGCCCAAAGCCACACACTGGCAGTAATTGAACTAGTGGACAACCCTGGTTTAATAGAAAATGTGTAATACTTTCATACTATTCTAGCTATTTTAACTGCTGGTTCTTTCCCTTGTCCACATATACCATTTACCAACTGCAGTTGCACAGCACTTCTGGTAGCAAAATCTTGTAGGGATTCCAAAATTTTGAGCTGCTCTCAAGGAACTTCAAGAAAATGAGAAGGAAGAGAAAATACCAAATTCAAGAAATCCTTAGAAGAATCTCAGGTTTTGGGTGTTTTTTTTTTCCCTGTGAAAGAGATTGAGGAGGCAGCTCTGCTTTCTGTTCCTGTTTGGCAGTTGTGGCCCTGATTTCCAATATAAAGCAGCTGCTGGATCTCACGGGGAGTCCAGCCTCTCTGGGCTGGGCAAGACACCAAATGTGGTGATAGCCATTGTTTGGCTCAGCATAGTCTTCAGTAGCAACACACTGAAAAAAACTAAATAGCTATTTATTAGATGAGAACTGAGAGGCAAAGAAGTCATGAAATTAAGCCAATCACATAAGGGTTTGATGGCAGACCTTAGGTAATGCCTCTGGATTTCTGAGACCACTCTAGCTCTCTGTGGCATTCTGCCAGTCCAGCTTCAGAAGAGAAACATAATGTGTTTGAAGGAGACCATATAGTAAAGTAGAGACTATTGGAGACTCAAAGCAGAAAATAATGGAAGCTTAAAAAATTCATACCTCCTTCTCCATAGAGGGTTTTATACCAGAGGTGAGATTGAGGTTCACCAGATCATGCTTTTAAATCCAAGTAGATGCTTCAGACTGATAGAACCGACTTTGTTCTCAAGGAGACACTAAAAGTAGTGATTGCATTGCATCACAACGAAGAAAGAAACTTTCTGTGGTAAATGAGGTCAGACATCACAGCTGCATTAAAGTACTTGGTGAAAAACACCTCAAAGGGTGGCTAATATCCAGCAGCCCATCAAATAGATGCCATTTCAACATGGGGAAGCAACTGTCTCCAGAAGCTGTTCTGTACAAAATCTTGTGACAGGCAAAAAGAAAACTACTCTATGTCACACAAAAATTTATTAGTTAGTACAATTGCAACCTCAGCAGTCTGATCAAAGAATTATTGTCAGTCCAGGTCTAATTATTGCATAAAAAGAAAGGAAATAAAAATAAATAAAGGGTATGCAAAGTCCCAATAATATTACAGTTAAAATTGTTATGCATGCACTATCTAGTACCTACCCCTTCTCCTGGTGCCATGCTTATCCTTGCAGCCCCAGGTGGAGGGAACACAGTGGGCCATCAGCATCCTGAGTCCTCTGCCAGCAGGACTCTGAAGTTGGTGGTTTATTGTTTCTTCTTTCTCCCTTTTATGGTCTTTTTGAAACAGCTTTCACCTGTGACTATTTTTGCATGTTTTTCTAATACAGTCTTACACCTTGCTTTTTCTTCACGGGTTTACAACTATATATTTTGTATTTAACTAGGTACTTGTTCTTTCTTCTCTGTTTTTACTCCTGAAACTACTTTTGTCCAGCTCCCAGTCTGCATGTCTTTAACTGGCATTGGCAAGTTGTTCATAGCCTTAAGGTCTCCCGTGCCACTCGTACCCCATCTCTTACCATCCCATGCCTCTACTCCTCTATACTGCAGCTGGTGTCTTCATTTCTCAAGGTTCCCGCTGTTCTAACTGGCTTTAATTTCTCTACACTCTAATATCATGTTAGAGTCATAAACTTATCGTTCTACACAGAATAACTACTTATTAGTAATTAGTATCTCTATAAAAACTGTGACTATACCACACCAAGCGACAATAAAACAAATTAGCCAGTCTCCTGTCATTAGAAAAATCATGGTTACAGCTACATCAAGTGAAACCAAAGCTCCATGAATATTGGAAAGTTCAGACACAGCACTTGTGATAAGCCTACCCTACATCCTGAGGTCTCCTAAACTGAGGACAAAGCCTGTGGATCGTTACTAGCAACAGCAATACAGCCGCAGCATTGTGACTGGTATTACTGGGCTACACACTGTTTACTACCTGCCAGTTCTGGATTAATATAAGTATTTTGAATAACGTGTGTAGCAGCAGAGGTAAAAATTTCCACAAAGGGCACGGGAAGGAAGCGGGAAAACTGCTGACCAGAAAAAAAGCTATGGTGCCTGAACTCATGAGTTTTATGAGCACAGTCCACAGTCCACACACACTCAGCTTAGACACACTGGGTGTGTATGCTGCAAACCAGGTCACAAAACCCCAATATAACAATTGCTGTGTGACAGTTCAGTTGGAGGCCATGCTAGAATAGCATAATGATGGCTCATGATATTATAGTTTATTTCAATAATGTGGGGAATATTAAGCATCTTCCAATAGATTTTCTCTAAATATAGAACAGGATAGTTATTTGAGCTTTTGTCTAATCGTAGAATAGAAACTATTTAAAGCAGTGTTGGGTCATCTATTTAAAGCATATATTCATGAAATAAAGGAATGAGGTTTGAAAAAAATAATTTTAATCAATTTTTTCATCAGTATGATCCATTACATTATTCAGAAATGGCTTCTTTCAGTAAATGGATTGTGAATCAATAGTAGATATAAATAAAGCACTACAAAAGGCGTAACATTCAACAAGCTGCCAATTGTTGGAGCAGAAGACAACAGAAATCAGTATTCCAAGACAGATCACAAATAAATCAGAAACGGGCAGATAATACACAGAGATGGCACTTTTTTACAGAAACTCCAGAGTTTGGTCTTGTCCCAAGAATGACTGAAATACACATAAGTTTGTAGGTGTTTCATGTGATAGATCAGTACGAGATGGAGTTTGAGCTGAAGTCTGTTTTCCACTACTTATTTTCAAATTAATTCCTTTTAGACCCTGCAGAGTTTGAAATATAAAGAATGAATTGCCAGGCTGCCAAAGAGCTCTCTGGAGCCAGAAAAAAAAAAAAAAAAAAAAAAAATTAAAAACTGCAGGCTTTGTATTACACCTCAAAGGATCAGTTCTTGAGATACGCTTGAATTGTATCTTGAGATACAATTCCTGTAAAGTCAGTGAAAAGTGCTATTGCTCAGCAGTCTTTAGGACTTAGCCTCCAACAGAAAAAGGAACAAAACAGGTTTTTTCAAGCACACAGATCATAATGAACATGTATTAGCTCTTCACATCAGGACATTATTATTTAAATGTTGCTAGTAAGAACTTAGAACATGACACATACTGCGTCTATCACAACTGTTAATTATTAATGAATTAATGTGTCATCTGGGACCTAGCTAATATTTCCAAGCCACTTGTGTGAATAGTTGTTTGTTTTCTACTGTGGGAGTGCCAGTTGCCAGGAATTCAACATCTTTAGGTATTTAGTAATTATTAATGATACATTACGTTACTCTGAAAAAAATCTCATTACTCTCTTATCAAACCTATGAGTTTTGTTTAAAAAAATTGTGATTTTCATAGCATAGTTTGAGCCTACAGATTACACATTCAGTTATGTTTTTGAAAAAATAAAGATAATGACAGAATTTGAAACTGCTGACCTACAATTTAAAACTGCACAAGCAGGCATGCTTGCTAACCATGAGGTTTTACATCTTTTCCTCAAGAATTTATTATTTAAATGGGGATTCTGGATAATTACTGCAAACCATGTAATCGTCTAATTTTACTTTGAACCTATCTAAATTACTGACTTCAAAAACCATGCTGCTGCAGTAAAAGAAAAACGTGACTCTTGAGATGAATGCACTTGAATCAGCTTTGAATTTGCCACATGTTAACGTAGCTTTTCTGTTCTTACTGTCCTACAAGACAGAATTTCCCATTAAATCTTCTTAACACCATCTGATAGTAACGTTCATGACAGTACTGGGTAGGGGGTCAGCTGTGAATGGGGCCCCAAATGTGTCAACGCGGCACATAAAAGAAATATAAGTGAATCTCTGCCTGGCAGATTCAACGGACAAAAAAGCTGGAAGGAAACAATAGTGGCAGAGGGAACAAGATGGCAGCATACAGCCTGACATTTTTATTTTTGTTTTCATTTGAATATTTAAGTCCTTTTCCTGGGGCTCTGTTATGAAAGAATTGAGCAGACAACAAGACCAAGGTAACAAGGACACAGACCAAGCGATAGCAGGCAGCCTATCAAAACACATGAGAGAAGATTTCAGAGTACAGACTTCAAGAAATCAATTTGGTGGTGCTGCACTGACTTCACTTTTTAGAGGCGCCACTTTTTCTTCCCTGTAAAGTCCATGTTCAGTCCTAGCACTATGTTACGTGTCCCACCCCTACATACTGGAATATCTCATTTAGTACCTACTTTTAAGTGGCTAGAAATTTAGTGAATTTGCGCTTTCAATATATGTACTAACTAGAAAGCACTGCTACTTTATAGATAGAAAACTGAAAGACAAAAATTTTCTGACTTGAGAAATTTGGGAACAAATACATAATCTACAGCATTTTCTTTTTTTTTTTTTTTTAAATCTATGAACTTCCTCAAACGTATTTTACAATACCTAATATATGTAAGACTTATGTCATTATTTTTAGTAAGAAAATTACCCCATTTTTGTTCATAAAGCCTTCCAAATTATACATGTCCAATGATTTTCAGCACACTTCATAGAATGCTTTGAGCCAGAGTGAACCTTTAAAGGTCATCTAGTTTAACCCCCCCCTTCAGATGAGTATGGATGCAAAACATTATTGCAAAGCAGTCTCAGGAATTCTTGTGTTTAACAGGATTGGCAACACCAGTAGAGATGAGTGGAAGTCCTTCTTGCACCGCATCTCCTATAACATGTAAGTACAGCAAGGCTTAGGGAAAAAACAAACAAACAACAACCAACCAACCCAGACAGCTGCAAACCAGTACTGTATCTAGGAGGTAATTTATCTTCTCAAAATTCAATCAGATGAGTGTAAGGTCCATTTGTATCCAGTTTTAACACCTGCCTGTTTCCATATGTACCGTGCTTGACAAGAACCCCTGCTTCCACACACTTGGCACTGGCAGCCAGTTCTTTTTCACACAAAGTCACAAACAGAGAATAAAGTTCCATCCCTTTTTCTTTTTCAATGTTTGCATGGTACTGCATCTTTCTTCCCTTTGGTTTACCACCTAGAGTAGCTTGTGGTATGATCAGCACATCACCTGGTAAATCAAGGACAGAAACGTACTCGCCACTTTCATTTTCACTTAATTTAACATTCAACAGCATACTGACTGCAAATAAAAAATAAAATAAGAGTTAGTGTAATCCAAGTAAGTTAAACAGGACCCAATGTAAGATCGTAAACAAGATCCAAGAAATACTGAGATGCATGATGAACTATTCAAGTAAAAGGAACTTATTAATGAAATGAAACATGGGCAGTCACTAAATACTATTAACCAAGATGTCTTAGTACTGTGAAGAATGTGAAGGATATTTCTATTAATATAGTACATCTAAAGAGTTATTTTGGGGAGGGAATTGGTTGGCTGTCTGAAATCCTAGTCAGACACTCCTGAATGAACCCAGGATCCAATTAGTGAGCGCTATCTTAATTGCCTGATACTCAAATAGGCAACATTTGAACAACATGACACATTGTAAGAGAGAATACCATCTTCAGTACACTTTGGAGAAGTTTCTGCCCTGACTGTCTTATCATTCTGGTTGCAGTAGCTTGCAGCAGGACCCAGCACTGATCTGGGCTGAAGCTGCTGCTCAGCAGTTTGGTCTCAAGTGGAGTGAGTGCCCTTCAGTGCTCCACTTTGAGATGTGTTTGTGCCAGCTTGTCTTGCGAGAGAGGAAATGGGCAGGAAGGTCAGAGATGCAATTTGCCACATAAGCCAGAAAATATAAATTTGCAAATGAAATATAATGCTAGTAAATGCATCTATTTTCCAGTGTTTCTATAACAAATCAAGTAATTCCTCCCAAAATTTTTCCAGCTCTGTAAAAGCTGTAAGGATACTAGTCATGCCTCCAAACCCACAAAAGTTTAATGTTCTTTGAAGCAAAAAGTGCCGAGTTGTGATTCAGGAATAAACCTCTCATTCAAACAGTTTCAGAATATATTTATGAAAAAATATTCTCTTAGACAGACACTTAAGAAGGATGGTCATAGATTCATCTCCTAATAGGAAATATAACTTTCTTTTTCTGGCCTGTTTCAGCTGCCACACATCTGGAAATGTCATTATTCTCAGGTAACACACATGAAACTTTCATAAGCACAAAATCAATTTTCAGAGGTTTAAATATAAGAAAAGATTTTAACTTAGTTTAGCATCACAAAAAGACTGTGACCTCTCCAAGACCAAGAAAGAACCCCCCAGAAGTTGCTTTCAGCATTTTCAAGAACATATGTGCTTGTGCACTGCTGGTCCCAGCAAGCAGCCTGAAATGGAGTCCCGTTAGAAGAGCTTTTGTGAAACCACCGATACTGGCCAGCCATAGAAAAGGGGCACTCATATCTGGAACAGGAATACATGGAATCACAGGATTTCCCAGGTGATCCCATGGGCACTAGTAGAGGAAAGGAGGGAGAAGAAATGAAATAGAAGTATAAAAGAAAACCAAACCAAACCAACTCAAGCCAAAACAACAGCGTGTGAAGAGAGAAATGACTACCATTTGACCTTCTGCTGCTTTGATGTAAACGTTAAAATGCATGTGGAGAGGAGGGGAAGAGCTGCAGGTATTGCTGCTAGCACTTCTGAACCAGAAAACTGCACGTGAAATGCAAACCCTGTATCACTGAAAAGAGAGGGGAAGGACTGTTTAGTTATCCACCCAACTCCCTCTGCTGGCTATAATTGTAAATATTCTGCGCATACAGGGAAGTCAGTGTTAAAATACTTGTCCAATTGCCATTAATTATTTGAAAACAGTTTTCTCTAAATTCAGTTCTGTCCCAGACCAGGCCTGTTGCCTGATACTTGTAAGGTGTCAAACAGCAGGTGCAGCGCTTCCTCCGCTTGCTAGCCAGTTACCATCACGGGAACCCCTTTTCTAACGGGCTGATCAGACGCAGACAGAGCGAGTAAGATGTATCAACAACTGTCTAAAGAAACAAGCCCGACTAAGCTGTTCTTTTAGCCACATGACTGATTTGGAATGATGCTATCTGATGGCTTTTTGACTTCTTGTACAAATGATTACTGCTTTCTCTGCCTCTACTCTTTCCATCTTTTTCAAACAATTCAAGACTATATAAGGATTATATCATACCAATTTTTGGAACAAGATCCTCATCAGCACCTTTGAAGAAGCATATGTAGATAACCAGCCCTCTGTGGATCTACAAAAGATGACAGAAGACTATGTCAATGTCTCTTTTTGTTCACCATGGACACTTATCACAACATTGCGATCAAGCATGACAAAACTACACAATAAAAAAGCTTCAGAGAGTAGTTTTAGTTATTCAGTATAGCTTCAGACATCAAGTTTACACACCATGTTGTGGAAGCTTATGAGATATACACTGACTATTTATCTGCACAGTGCTTCTATATACAAGTTAGCTAATTTATTAGCTCTGTGTGAAGCCAAATTGAAGCTCTGAGTGGCTTGATCTAGTTGGAGATGTCCCTGCTTATGGCGCGGGGACTGGACTAGATGACCTTTGCAGGTCCCTTCCAGCCCTGACACTCTCTGATTCTATGACTCAATTTCAGTTGGAATGTACAATGTACAGTATTAACATAGACAAGGTGACAAGATGAATTAGTGTACTTAAATCCAGTATAGGCAATATTTTAAGCCTTTTTTCCTATCATACAGAAAAAATAATTTTCAGTGTGAATTATGAGTTTATTTCTAATTATGAAACATGACAAACACCACAAGACTTGACAGTGAACTGAATTAGATTTTGATGTTAAAAGTAATTTAGTGCAGGATAATTCTGGGGAAAAAAAAAACAAACCAACCACCACAGAATCTGTTAATTAAAGATTTAAATATGATGACCAACAATGATGCAGCTGTTCAGGATATTAGAAAGTTGTCCAAAACATTATTTATCAGTTTGGGTGAAACGTTTTTGGTGAAATGGGACCTTTCTCCTGACTTGTATAGAGTAAAGAATATGCCACTTCTTTAGCACTCAGAAAGACTACTTGTAAGAACTATCTATTTAAGGAAAGAATTAGGTCTGTACTTGTTCTGCCAATGACCAGGCACAACAAGAATGGTACAGCCAGCAGGAAGAGAAACAAATACACAGACTGTATTGTAAACAAAAAGGACATTCCCTGAATGATCGCTGGGGGTACAAACAGATCAATCAGCTGGTACATAATTGATGCCACCCCCAAAGATCCCACAAAAGACATGACTCGGCCCACAACAAGTGCTATAAACAGTGAACCGAGGTTGCCCATAGTTGGCATGGGAAACAGCCAGACCAGCAGGCTGAACATATAAGAGAAAGGTGCCCACATGGCGACTCTCACCCGATCAGCCCGCGTTCACAAAGGTCTAAACAGACTGGGGCCCAGCTCCAGGGAGAGTCAGGAGGTCTGCCCTGAACCAGGAAGCTCTGGGGAGTGCACTCCACAGACAGACACTCCTGACTCCCTGCCAGTGGTCCCAGCTTTTATCCTCAAGCAGACACCTGACCTTTGTCAACTCAGTGCGGGACCCCTGGGGCTCATTTCCCTTCTGGCTCTCCCTGCAGGGCCGGCCGCACCCTGGGGGGAAGCTATAAGGCAAATTCACCACCTCTTTATGAAGGGCTGTGGGAAGCACCCATATGTCAGCCTTAATTTTGGGCTTGCGGTTCAAAGCCCAGCATTTCAGTACTGAGGAGAAAGCACAGGGAAACTCTTGTCTAGCTTTTCTACTCTGTTGGTTAGTTTGTAAGGAATGTGTGTGCAACAGCATTTTTATGAAGACAAACTCACGGGCTCTGCAGCCAACAGCAATTACATCTCACATCCAAGTATACTTGAATGGTTTGACTTCTTTTATGAGAAAGAAGAAAGGCCTACAGTATCCACAAGCACACAGTATTTATAAAAACCTGACCACTGTTCTGTCAAAAATAAGTATCTTGATATTGTTGTTAGAAGAAAAATAAACATAAGCTTATGAAATACCACCGGAGAGATGCTAGGCAGATAGGGGCAGGAAGGATTCATTAATATCAACATTACCAAAGCAAAAGGATAAGAAATGTGAAGTTTCTTAAAAATGCATTTTAAAAATTTTTCCTCTATTTTTCCTTTCCCCTTTTCTTAAAAAGATCAGGGGTTTTGTAGGAGAAAATTTAGCTACACACATGAGATTTTGTCCCTTTGTTTTGTAGAGATTAAAAACAATGCTCAAGGCAATGACTGAGAAGAGCTATGCCTTCTCAACTAGGTTTTGAGTGACTAATTTCTGGAAAGGAAGAATGCTCTTTTTAGCCAAAATGTCACATGCTAAGAACTTCTAAAAGCTTTAAATGTCTCCTTTCAAAACTAATTTTGACCACTGCAGAATATTATACAGGTTTCCAAATGACTGCCACGTTTTATAAACACTGTGAGAAGTTGGATGGCCTGAACCTTACCTGACATTTCAGAGATCTGCTCGAATAAGGGCAGGGCATGCTGCCACAGGCTGGACAGCCTCACGTTTGAACTACACATTCGCACCAGAAACAGACCAGCGTCAGGGTACTGATAACAAGTAACAACACACATAGCTAGAAATAAAAATATTTGTGATAAAATAGACCAAATGCATTCATGCTGTTATACATCTGACCACTGCATTAGAAATAAGTGACTCTGTGACAGCACACCTCACAGAAAGTCATTCTGACCCTTGTCACTGGTTTTTGCACAGTCTCACATACGGAAGGAACAACATTCTGCAAGTAGCTTATGCAAAATGACAAAAAGGTAAATACAGTGACACCTGCAAGTCCTAAGGCCAGACAGATGCAGATTAAGTAAAAACATTCATTATTTTTCCAGTCTCTGCCATGATTTTATGCTTAGTTTTGAATATACTTTTTATCCCAAGGTGAGAAATACATATTGCAGGAAACTGGAGGGAAAGGAACTGGAAAAAAAAAAAAAAAAAAAAAAATCTGAGGCAAATTAAAGGTGCTAGAGGATGCTTCTATTTATATTGAAAGTTTGGGAACTTCTAGAATACTTTTCAACCATGTTATCCTTGAAGACCATTCAACTATATGCAAGTTGAATGGTAAGTTGCAACCTACAACATAAAACCAGTTGAACACTTTTCAACACATACACAACTGTATTTCAACCTCGTGTTATGCCTTACTTATTTGTTCTTTAGTTTTCTTAATAGATGTTGTAAAACTGAATGCAATTTCAATAGCTAACCTAATAACAATGCACATCACTCCTCTGATCTTGTATCAGTTCTAGGTGCCCTAAGATCTGTGCTTGTTGCTAGTGTAACAGACAGGAATGTGTAAGCCTTCTGAACCAACGCAAAAACATTGCCGTTGCTGAAGGTCCTCTGTAACCTATCAAAGTCTAGGTGACTTCTCTATTTAACACGGGAAAACTCAAGCAAAACACAGATAAGGAGGTCATAAATTGAACATGCTGACACATCAACAACCACTGCATGGAACTTATATAGCGACAGGCAGGAGGCAGGGCAGGGCAACTGAGCTCTGGGTGGATCGACTGTTACCAGTAAAAAGCCTACACAAATAAATGAGAAAAGCAAGTTACTTTGCAACACTGGCACTTATTATACAGCTGTCCTAAGGAATCATCAGACCAGGCAACTTGCTGAAGTACTTGGCCCCTAAGGCCATACAGCAGCCTTGGCAATGCTGCCTCCAACATTGCTTTGTAGCTCTTTGGCAGGAAAACCAAGTAACTCCTTCCTTACTAAATACATCCATCTGAATTTTGCAGGATTTCATTAGCAAAGTCCAAATATATTCTGCAAAATGTTATCTCAACCATATTTCTCCTTTCCCCTCCCCTCTCCTTTCTCCTTTCCCCTTTCCTTAAAATATAATGCAAATAATAATGAAAACAGAGAGAGACTGCGATCCTTAGGGAGCCAGTTTGTCAAAGTCACTCATCTAAATTACTCTTTGACATTTTCTGTTCACATTCAGTTTTGCAATCTCATAAGAATATCTCTTCATATTTCTTACATTCAGTTGCAGCAGCAAGATTATATAATCTACCATAGGTCACAGAATTAAGTCTATGCCTGGTTCTTTGCACCTGTTTTCACTATCTTAGCCAGAAAACAAATCAAGGGAAAGAAGAAAAGGCAAAGACCGTTCTTGTTGCATTTAGTGTGGGTGCTCGTACTTTTTGGCTGAATACCCATTTTACGTTTCTTTTATCCCATAGTGGTGAAATACACCAAATCTCAGTTTATCTCTCCCTTGCCTTTAAAACGATTCTTTTCTTTTTTTTCCTCCTGAGGATTTTGCTGTATACATAAACCTTTTATGGATGTTCAGACCAACATTTCTCCATAAAATAGACATCCCATCCTCAGTAATGCTCAACAGGCCAGAAAAACTCCATCATGAAAACACAGTGAAGGCAGTGATTCATGTATAGATAGAGAGTATACTCCTAACCTTTCTCCAGATAAAGAACATCTGCTCTGGAGTTCCCAAAGTACCTACCTATAGGGGTCTCTTAAAGCTCAGAAGCTATTAAAAGCTACCTACATAATATGTTATTTATAGTACACTAGTAATTTCTCAAGGTGAGGACCTACTTATTAAGTTGTTGCAGATTATCAGGAACACATTGGTTTATGTAAATAATAGTTTATGAGGTCTATATTTTTATTTTTGCATGAACATGCATATATGGGGAATAACATTACCCTATCAGATTATGTCAGCAGCAAAGATTCCTTCCAGTGACCTCTAAAGTAGTCATACCAAAGAAATTACAAACTTCCTATCCTTTTTTTGCTGCGCAGTGACTACTTCTTGTTAAAACAGATTTCTCTTAAAAAGCACCAGGTACCCAGGAAATATTCCTACATACCCATGACAAATGTTAGTAAGGTTCAGGTCTGAAAAAATATCTGCTGCTGAGACCACCTAAATTTCTTGCAGATTTCTTTAGTGCTATTACTTTACCAGTGATTTTGGTTAAGCCATTTAAAACTTCAAATAAGAGATATAAACAGCATAACCTCCTTGTAATAGAGTTAGTCATGATATCTATAAGCTGTAACATATGCCTCTTTTCAGGTACATTAAAAGGCAGCCAATAAAATATTTCTGCTTTTATTGACTACATCTACAACTACTTCTGAGATTAGCAAGCTAGAAA